ATCTCACAGTTGTGTGACCTTGGACGGGTTAGTTTGCTTCATTGTGCCTCAGTTTCCCCATCTGTAAAACTGGGACCAATAATGGCATCTATTTCATAGGATTCTTATAGTAAGTACTCAGTAAATATTAAATATTACTGTCTCCCTTGCCATCACTAAAGTCCAAGTGACCAGCATCTCTCAAACAGACCAGCCTTTGATTGACCTCCCTAATTCCACATTTATACCTCTCTACCCAATTCATTGACCTTGAATACAGTCAAAACATTTTTCCAAAAGCTGTATGTCCCTGCATGACCTAACCTAGTGTTTCCCCAACTTTTGACAGCTGAAGAGCACACAATGGGTAGTCCGTTGACACAATGCTATGAATTTTAAGTTAAAAAAAGAAACAAAGGCTCATCTCAATATTAAATAATAAAAATATAATTTCAAAACAAAAATGATAAGTTACCTATAAGTGAGAAGCAGAATACCGTTTGCAATTTTTCACCAAGACATCCAGCTCCCTGTCAAACTAGATCAGTTTCCATCCACATATAGATGGTTTATTTTCTCATATTTTATTTCTAATAAACTGTAAAATCCTAAATCACAATTGTAGATATGAGGAATGGCAATCTACGATGGATCTTTCAGAGAGCTCATAATTGAATTAAGCAGAGGATCCAAAAATTTTAGGATGATTTTTCATTGAAGATCACTTTCAAAGCTCTCTGTCAGATGCTAAGTCAAGGAACACAAACATGAAAGCAGAAAGGTTAGCAAATTGAACCAATTCCCAATCCACTCTGACAGCATCCAATTCTGACAGCATTTCTTCAGGTTCTCCTATAGCATTTAGATATGGTTTTCAAATATACCCCAATAATATATAATCATTTTTTCTGGGACTAGTGACAAATATCATCATATGCTGGGGAAAAGAATCAAACTCATGGTAATGAAGCCTTTTTACTGTAAGTCAGTCTTTTTAACAAATTCTGTCATTTTATCCTCAACATGAAAAATCTAGATGTACTAGGTTTCAAATAATGGATCAGTCTATTTGAGATTCTGATATCACTAAAATACAACACTTGAACAAACCAGTTGAAAACATATCTCAATGACACAAAGCTGTCATTATTAGATCATCATGAAGAAATATTTTTACCTTTTCCCTCATTGCAAAACTTGTGAAAACCTCTCCTCTCCCTATCAATTATCCCTCTATCTCCTACATCAATTTTTTCCTTTTTATTAGATCATTCCCATCAGCATAAAAACTGCTGCTATTGCTACCTTTAAAAGAAAAAAAAAAATCTCCAATTTCTCTGATCCTTCACTTAAACCTCTCCATTTAAGTTTTTGTCGCCAATAATTCCACGAAAACCACTCGTCAAGATCACCAGTGACCTTCACATTGCAAAATCCCACAGTGAGCTGTCGGTCCTCCTCTTTCCTGAACGTCAGCAGCATTTGGCACTGTCCATACTACCTCCTCCAGGAGAATGAGCAGAATCTACCATCCTGGATTTAATGGCTTACCCTACTGCCTCATAAAAGAACCCTCTACTTCTCAAAATGCTCATTTTATTTTTCTAGCATAACTGTGAGAGGAGCTATGTTACCAGCATCAATCGTAGAATTATTTCTGAGGTTAAGGAAAGGTTTAAGGGATGAGTGTCCTGATGGCAATGACTCACCCCTCCCCCTGGGGAGGGAAGGTTGGTTCCCGTCCAGGCTAGTCCTAGGACAGTCTGTTAAGTGTCAGCAGTGCCCCAACTGACCCTGAGGTTTAGGCCCAGGGGGAGAGTTAGGTCAGTACTCCTACAATGAACAGCCCCCGCTGCCTCACACCACACCCACCACCACTGTAGGCCTGACTTCCATGCTGGCGCCGGAGAGGGCTTCCTCTGGAATGGGGGTTACTCATGACTAGACTGGGCATCTGGAATCGTAGTAACCACAGCACATCCCACATTCCTAAGACTAGAGTTAAAGCAGTCTTCTACACAGAGGCTAATCCAAAATGAGAGTATCTCATCCAATTGCGTTATTTCCCTGTATAACGTCAAGTTTCAAGCACCAAAGGGAAAAAAAATAGACAAGGGACGAAAGTCTGAGCTCTTTTTTTCTGAAGTCACACTAAAACTGAAAGCAGAGTTAGAATTTTATGCAAAAATGTTCTGCTTGGCATTTGTAAAAATTCATGTGAAGCTAAAGCTCAGAGGACAAGAGGAAATCAAGGAATTAAGATCTCTTAGAAAAAGCAGGAAATATCGCCCAACAAGATTTCACCATGTACTGGTAAGTTTATGTAAACTTGGTGCTTGAGGTAAACCAAATAATTAATGGCTACGAAACCACCACTCTATCATTCAAATGGCCCAAGATTCTAAAGTACAGGCATCTGGTAAAAAATACTTCAGCAACTGGTCTTCATACCACTGCTAAATTCGTACCTAAATACTTCTGGAATTCAAGTATATTCTTGACCATTCTAACTGGACAAGTAGTCACAATTCTATGGACTCATGGACCTATAAGAAAAATGCCAAATTATGTTTACTTTTTTTAAGATCTGTTACTGTGGTTCAGGTAAATCGTTTATTACTTAGAAAGATTTATCCTCTCACACACAAAGTGATCTATATAATCAGTAGGCTATTAATATTCTAACTTTCTTGCCATTTTCACTAGGATGTCTCGGACAATTTTTCCTATATTCAATTTGGAAGGCAATAAGAATGATGAAACAAGTTTATTTTTAGAAAGATAGCCAACATCCTCAACAGCCATGACCCATCTTTGCATACAATCCAATCTCACAGATGTACTAATCCTTGGGGTTAGAGGTAAAAGATCCATAACTGGCTGCATCAAGTTTCCTAAATGTCCCTTAAATTGCAGTCCACATAGCAGTCTGCATGAACTCAAATATCTGTGTCTGATGGTGCAAGGTTCAAGTTTTATATGGAGATAGCAAAATTTCACCAGATTTTTCACTTTTTTCCTAGACCAAGTATTCAGTGGGCTGGAGCAAATTTGTTAAGTGTAGGAAAATAGTCTGAGTAGCCATGCTTGGGAACTCCGTTATGTGAAGAGCATATTTACTCCATGTCACACTTACAGCCTGATCTCAGGGACAAGGGCAAAGGCAGAACTTCCTCAAAATTCTGCCGAGCATGTATCATCACACTGTGCTCAAAGTGGTCTGATTCATCTTCAGGATGGAGTTCTTAATACTGTCAATCACTCCTTCACCTGCATAAATTTGTCTGGCTGCCACTTTTACACTTGAGCCTATCTTCTAGAAGAAAAACATAAATTTTCAAATTGTAACTTCATTACCATGTAGTCTAGATGTTTCAGGGAGACTAAATGAAAATAAAGTTATATAAATCATATGCAGTCACAAGAGCCTTCGTATGCTTCAGAATGGCACTGAACATAAAACAATTCAATTTTTGCACGAATTTAACCTCACCTAAATGATCTCTGCTTATCTAAACTATATATCTCATCTATTCAGCTTGCTTAACAATATTTAGTTCTCTAATCCCTGGCACATGGTAGGATTATAATTCTGACCCTGTGGAGCCTAGCATGAGTATGTGACTTGCTTTGGCCAGTGAATGAAAACAGAAATGCCACCTCTAAAAGGAAGCTTTAAGAGCCCGTGCCACTTCATCAAATTAATTTCCTCCTCTGCCACAGTGATCATCAATGTTCCCAATGTGGCTCCTCCACCAATTTAGATCTCTGAATGAACAATATAGATGCACAATACAGATACAAAGTGACCATGAAATACACATTATTCTAAATCATTGAGCCTTGGGAATTGTTTGTTATGGCAATATAACCTAGTAGATACACCACAACGTGATTGAAACACCCATCCTTTATAGGAAAGAAATATTGGGATGCTAAGCACTGTGGTAAATGTTACTATAATCTAAAACAGAAGAAATTTAGGGCTATATTTATGATAGTCATAGATATAGATATAGATATGGATATATATATTATTGACAGCCACTTATTAAAACAGAATTCTCTCTCCCACTCCCTCCATAAAAAAAAAAAAAACCACCTCCTCAAATCAATTGAGTAATTTGAATTCTTAAAAATTAGTACTCTCGTCTGATCTCAGAAGCTAAGCAGGGTCGGGCCTGGTTACTACTTGGATGGGAGACCACCTAGGAAGACCAGGTGCTCTAGGCGTAAAAAAATTTAAAAATAAGGGATTGTAAGCTGACAAGGTCCTTGCAATCTGTGAGGTCAACCAAGGGTTGCCTCGCCTAAAAAAAAAAAAAATCAGTACTAAAAAATCTCAAAGAAACAGAGTGTTCCCCCATCAAAAAAGGACTTGACCCATTATCAAAATCATTTTCAGAGTTCCACTTCTTTTCTAAGACCAAGTACATTAATCAAACACAGAGCTTCAAAGGGACTTCATTTTGAGCGACCCAACAGACAAATAAATTAGCTGCCAATGGCTCCTTTGTAATTGAAGAGGGCCAGGCTGACCCAAGGGGATAGGACTAAATCAAAAAGGGAACCGTCCAAGTAAAAGCAGCATTTGGGGACCTAAAACAAACCAATAAAGCCGTCCCACACACTCATTTCCAAGAATGAGGGTGAGCCAAGCACATGTGTGTTTACTCACTAATAAGAAGATGCAAATAGCCCACATCTGATTGATTTCTTATGTGCTACAACCATAAAAATGTTTGTGCCTGGAATACATGTTTGAGTGTTGTGCTCAACTGTGGCAATTCATAAACCTGATCACACATTTTATACCTACAATCTACAGGAATGTTCCCCCTTTGAAACAATATAACTCTGGAAGGTTTTCTTCATCACAGAGACGATTGCTTAAGGTTTCTCATTTAAGTACGTGAAGAACTGTCCATTTTTAATTTGCAGAGCTTTTAACTGGTGACTCAGTGAGGGATGATGTCATATGTTATCCTACAACGGCTGGTGTGGTTCTCTCTGCTCACTTAAACCGTTCCCGTTTCTGTGGCAGACAGTACTCCCCAGTTTCCATCCTTTCGTCAGCCCCTTCCCAGCCAGCCACAGGCAAATAGCCTCCCCAGCAGTGGATGAAACAGGAAGTCTGACAGCTTGAGTCTGCAGTGGGACCCCTAGTGTTTTCCCACTCCATGTCCTGGCAGCGTTCCCCAGAAGTACAAACACACACACACAGAGCTCCCATTGTTGCAGCCTTCCCCAGCCCACTGATCCTAATATGGAATGCAGCAGGAAACCCATGATTTCCTGACACTCGCAAGCTGGAGGAAGCAAGGGGAAAACTCCATTAAAAAGCCCAGCTTTCCTCCATGTTAGATGTGAAGTGGAAAATGGGGAAGATTCAGCAAAATTCCATCGTGTCTTCAGCCAGGCTGGAGAGGGGGAGAGCGGAGTGAAACCTTCAGGCTGCTGAAGTTTCCAGACTGCCAGGAAGCCCCTAGAATTCGGTGAAAATGAGGGTTTCTTAACTCAAACTGATAGGGAAGAGGGACAGACCCTTTTAATAATCCTCCCAAGTGTGTGTTACCTTTCTTTACCAGTATGGTAAGCAAGAGGGTGTACGCCAGCTGCCTCGGACAAGTCAGTATGATCCCAGGTACCCAAAGTAAGGCAAAGTGATCTCAAGCCTGCCACTGGCTTCCCACCGCTTCATGGGCTTTGGGAGAAGCAGGAGAAGCAACAGCATCAGCACAGTCACAGCAGCTGGAGCCGCAAGAATGAACTGCAAGGAGGGAAATGACAGCAGCTGCAGCTGCGGTGACAGCAAGGAGAAGAAGATGTTGAAGTGTGTGGTGGTGGGGGACGGTGCTGTGGGGAAAACCTGCCTGCTGATGAGCTACGCCAATGATGCCTTCCCAGAGGAATACGTGCCCACTGTGTTTGACCATTATGCAGGTAAGAAAATGTGGAAAACTTGTTGCTGCATACAGGGTGAATGATGCGGGAGGTGACACCCCTACTTCACAGGGGCCCGGCTTATGTCTAATGTCAGTAGTGGGTGCAGGCCTGGACGTAGTTAGGTAGCTTAGCATAACTTACAACCAAGGACTTTGCTGGAATTATTAGAACAATTTGTACATCAATTTGTATTGTCACACTTTTTTTTCTCCCTTAAATCAAATGAATAATGCTGGGAGATATCCTGAAATATCCCTGTAGGCTTTGAGGGCAGAGATTTTACTGAACATTTGCCTGAGATTCATCAACTTTTTATTGTGAACATTTTAAAATGTAGAGTAATTGTATCACAGTTCTTTTTTACCAAAAAAAAAAAGTCACTAACCACAGAATGGTGAAAGGGTTCCTGCCACTTTGGCTATATTCATCTCACACCATTCATAAATGAAAATGCTAAGATGAATAAATATTAGAACCTTCATTTTTCTGTAACAATGGGTGCTGTACTACTATATTTCATTTTCCTGGGGTTGTGAGCGGGGGCGGGGGGAGTATTAAAAGGTTTTAAATATCCATTAGACATTGAAAGAAAAGAAACGTTTTAATTGATAGTTTTTAAAAGTAAAAATAAAGGTAAAAGTACTACTGAAACATTTTAAAGTATGTACCAAAAGGACAAAATTGGGGATCAAATGTTTTAAAGTATGACAGTCAAGATACTGTAGTCACAACTTAATTCTTTCAAGTTTATATCTTTTTGAATATTCTAAAGTCTGTGGTATGATAGCTCATCAGCGTGACAGCTTATCTAAATTCTTCCACTATGACTCTTAACTTTTTCTCCTCATTTCCAAATATTATTAAATTTTTTAAAAGTTCATGTAATTCTTCAGAAATTCACAATAGCCTACATTTTATAACTTTTGAACATAGTGATCAGCTTGATAAGTTATCTGAGATTTGAGATTTTTATAAGAGGAAAATTTCTCTTCCTTTATCTTGGCTTTGGGTCAGATTCAGCAAAGGGGAAATGGCCCACAGGAAACCTGTGTGAGTGTTGGCTTTGTTATGTGGCCATTTGAAATCCTCTTTCTGCAGGAAGTAGCTTCTTTTCCAGAGCTAAACAATCACCTAAGTCCCCTCCGCCTACAGTCACATGATTTATGACAATATTACACAGCCAGCAGGGAGAGAACCACCGTATCCATTTCCCAGCAGCTTTTTCTATTTGTAGAAATTAAGAGCAAATTTAAATGTGGGCTCCCTTAAGCTTTTCTGAAAATATAATGACTATGCCCGGAGAAGAAAATTTTTATGAGAACAGAATAAAGAGAACAAGTAGACTTTCACCTTCAGAAAAAAAAAGAAAAAACTAATTATAAAACTAGGTGGTCTGTGACTTAAGAAAGTTACTAGGGTACTTGACCTGTAAACGTCTTAGCAAAGGTTTTTTTATTCTATACCCTCTTTCTGCCAGGAAAGGGAAACTGGATGGTATCTATTTTCAAAAACTTTTAGATCAAAGGTGGAACCCAAAATCTACTAGTAGAGGTTTCAAATGCTTTTGAAAATTATGTATCTCATTCCCATCTGTGGGCGAAGCAATTAGAGTGTAGTATCAGGAAGAAAGAGAATAAAACCATCTTTAGAGATAAAGTCGGCCTATTAAAAGATCAAAGGCTGAACCACCACTAGATTCCACAAGCATCAAATTATTTTATATTTCAATTGTGTACATATTATTTGAGCATCAAATCATCTTAAAGATTTTGGCTACTCTATAATTTTAGCTCTCAAGAAATCACAGCCATTATACCCAAAGCAATACTTGGCACATAGGAAGCATTCCCAAACATTATTGCTTTGATTTATACTTTGTACCTTTTTAAGTATGCAATCTTTTCATGTGCTTTCAATCAGGTTTTTAAGGAAATGAAGACATGAGCCACATACATCTAGGACAGTAACGAAGTGGACATTTCCATTAGTAGAGAAATCTCCTCCATCACAAAGACTTTAGCTCCTTTTTACCACCATCTTCCCCATAAATGAGCTAAGTGAACATAAATCCTTACACGGTCACATGAGAATCTACAACCAATTATAAAAAAAATAACAAGGAAAAAAAAAACCATGAATGTTCTCTTCTCCATGTGGCAAAGTATCCTGTATCCAGTCCGTGGGTCCTACCAGCCCATTCTGAAATGACAACCTACAACCGGTTTACTGAGTCTTTAGGAAATTGTGGTTCAAGTCAAAGGGAGCCTATCTCTTGAAGAAGTTTCCTAATAAGCTGCCGACCCCAGGAAGGTAGAGATATATCAGTAGGAATGGAAGAATAGCACACCACTCAAGAGTACGAGCTCTGAAGCCAGAAAGCCCAGTTCTAATATTGTCTCTACCATTACAGTGTGGCCTTGAGCAAGTTATTTAATGATTCTGTGCCTCAATTATCACAAATGGGAAAAAAGGAAAACAGAGTTATTAGGATCACTTGTGAGAACAAAATTAATACATGTAGTTCTTAGAACAGTGCCTTACACATGATAAGTATTAGGTACAGAGTAGCTATTAAGAAGAGGGTCTCTACACTTATACACAGCTATGAAAGGGAGTTAAAATGTAATTAAAAGATAAAGACTCTAACAAGAAAAAATATAATTCTAAGAGTATCCTCCAAATGGAGTAGGGTGTGAGAGAGTGTGTGTACTGTCCTTATAGTTACCATGTGTACTTATAATTTATAAACTCTCACTGTGCAGTGAGCTCCTGAGGGAAAGGGTCGTATCTTGCCCAATCCAGTGTTCGATTCTCAGTCCTCATCTTACTTGGTCTCTTGGTGGCTTTTCTTGTGGTTTATTTCTTGGTTTTGGGAACATCACATTCTCTTGGTTTTTATTCCCCTCACTGGCAAATCTCTCTCCATCTCCTCTGCTTTTTCCATCCCTTCCCAACCACTAAATGTTGGCATACCTCAGAGCTCAGTCCCTTAGCTCTCTTCTCTACACTCATGCCCTAGGTGGCTGTATCTCGTCTCATGATGTAAAGTATTATTTATATACTGATGACTCCCAAATTTATATCTTTACCCCCAATAACCTCCTGAGACCCAACTGTCCATGTATATCCAACTGTCCATTTGGATATCTAATAGGCATCTGAACCTTAACCTGTCCAAGATAAAACTTTTTAATTCCCTCAATTTACTCGTCCCCTAGTCTTTCCTGTAGAAGTACATGACCACTATCTTCTACCCAGTTGCTCAGAAAAACAACTTTGCTATTCTCCTTAACTTCTTTCTTCCTTTAACAATATCCCACTCTCTCTCCATCCAAAAAATTATCCTTTCCTACTACCAATCAGCTCAACCTTTAAAACACATCTCAAACCTGATCATCTCTCCCCACCTCCACTGCCTTCATTAGTCCAAGCCACCATCATTTCTCATCCAAACTACTGTAATCACCTCCAGATTCCCTGCTTCCAATCTTGCCCCCTAAAGTCAGTTCTCTACACAGCTGGCAAGAACAATATCCACAGCCACAAATACTCCGATCCCTTCATACTCAGATCCCATCATTTATCATGATCTACAAGGCACTCCATGACTTGGTCCCCTTACCTCTCCAACCTCCTCTCCTAATTCTCTTCAGTATTTCTGCTCTAGCCACACCAGCCATCCTGACATTATCAAACACACCCAGCTCCTTCCTCCCTTGAAGACTTTATACTTGCTTTTCTTCCAGACTGACACTATTTCTCCAGATCCTTCTCAGCTTCCATTGACCATATTATTTAACACGTTCGCACACACAAACACACAAACGCAGAGTCACTCTTTAACTTTTATATCTTTATTTTTTATCCTGCTATATCTTTCTTTATAACATTTAACACTACTGGCATTGTACTCGCATTTCTTTGCTTACCATTTTTATCCCACACTGGAATGTAAATTCCATGAGGGCAAGGACTTTATCTAGTTCACTGTTCTACCCCCAGCTTCTAAAACAGAGCCCAACACACAATAAACCCTCGACTGTCACTGAAAAAATGAATTAGTATATTTTAACTATCTTAGTCCCTCCAGTGCTGAGATAATTCCTGATCCATTACAACTTTGATGAATCAATGAACAAATTGCTGGTCCAGCAGGTATCTCATTAGGAGTGAACATATATTTAATAAATTTATTATGTTTTTGAACCATTTTGTTCACATCTTATTTTATCTCTACTGGAATTGTAATACATCATTGAATTTTCTTGGCCAGTATCACATCTATCAAATACTGTAACTCTAAATGTATAAATTTCATTTTTAAACAAATGGGAAGTACTCAAACACCCCCATTTGTATTATATCCAAAAGCCTGCCTAAATTTTAGGTGGCACACTCAAACACTTAAGTTCTTTTATAAAGAGTATGTTCCAGAGTATCCCCAAGTTCAACTAAGGGCTAAGACTAAAAAGTGAGGGCAGTAGGATGAAGGTAAAAAGTGTCACTTATGTTTTTTACAAGTGTGCCTAAGAAATATCTCTGGGCCTTTCTTCCTACTGCCTTCTAGGATGACTGAAGGTGTCCTAATAACCTTTGGAGCCTTCGCAGCTTACCATGGAACAACCATATCTCTTCTCCCATCCTATCTTTATCCTATCTTTTGCTTTGAGTTGTATAGCAGACCCCTCATTGATAAATTATTATTAATTAATGTTTCGCATGACATATGACATAAGGATAACACTTCCAGAGTTTAGTCAGATTGTATGTTGTCAGATTATGTCAGTGGTTTGTATGTTTATATGCATTTGTGTATAAAATAAGCCCATTCAAAGTGAAACCTATGTGTGATGTACCTCATTCACCATTTCCATCATCCTCAGAATTAAAATTGATTTTTTTTTAAATTTTATTAAATTCATTGGGGTGACATTGGACAATTACATAGATTTCAAGCGTAAAATTCTATAATAAACTATCTGTTAACTGCATTGTGT